AGAGAGAAATGTCTCCCCAAAAATATACTCTCATCCACACACACACACACACACACACACACACACACACACACACACACACGTGTATCTAGGAGGTGGAATGTTAACACAAAAGTGGCAAATTTGAAATAATAACTAGAATTCACATCTCCAAAATGGTCCAGGAGATGTGTTTCAATTCATTCTGAAGCTCATAGAACCTTCAGTGTGGAAGGCAGTTGCTTATCTCTGGAGGTTTCACAGGCAGTAGCTATCCCTGATGTCAGAAAGTGCTCCCCAATCTGACCCCCGCCTTTCTGACAAATCATTAGTATACCCGCCTCCTGGCTGCTCAACATTGGCCACTAGAAGTCTTCACTAACAGCTAACTCTCTCATCTCAGGCATCTTCTTAAAGAGGGCACCTTTGGCTGTCACAAATGAACCACACCCTTCTATCCCCAGTCTTTGGTCAACTTTCTTCTTTACAAAAGCACATGATGGACAATCTCAGGTGGACTCCTGCCTATACCTTCTGCTTCCATCAATGAGAAGGACGCTTTTCATTGCTATTTTTGCCCCACTGTATAAAACAGTGTCTAATATGTGAGATACTCAATAAACACCTGTTCATGAACGACTACATCGTCTGTCATTCCGCAATGAGACCCATCTTCCACAGAGATGGATAAAGCCCTTTCTAATAACCGTCAGTCTCTTTATGAACCACAGAACCTGAGCCAATGAGAATACAACTCTGAGGTTGGCTGGCCCAAGAGTCCCTGTGCTGCATCATGAGACAGCTCCACACATGAAAGCCCTGTACTCACCCAAGCCAGGGCCTTCTACTCCCATTCAGTAAAATCTCAAACCTAAGACTTTTGTACTGGAACCATGCCAGGGAAACAATCTAGTTTTATGACTGATGACATGAAACAACATACAACTTGACCCACCAGCCTGAGAACTTGTGGATTGGGCCCGTTAAACACCTGCAAAGTGCCAAGGATGCCTTGGGAACAGGCAGCTGGCAGTAGGTCACTCTTCCTCATTTCCTGTAAACCTGTACCAAGCTGGAGTCTGTGTTAGCCACCACACAACCTTCAGAGCACATTGTGGATTAAAAGATATTGCATCCATGCCAAGGGCAGCCCTAGGAGTCACCTCCCTTTGAAACAGCAAGGTCACACAAAACAGCACAGTTGCACAAAGGCAGTCATGGAGGGTACTAAGGCTTTAAGAAGGAACAAAAGGGAAGTAGTGAGGACTACTCTATGGAGCAGATAAAATGATGCTCCCTTCAGTAGAAAAGGATATGGCTGGGTATAACATGACCTGCCCTGTGTTCTGTAGACACAGAGATGAATTCCTGATTCCCAAAGGCCAAGACCAGCACAACCATGTGGCCTGCCAGGTAAAGTCATCAGGGGTGGCAGTCCAAAGTGTTCCAGAATGCCAGTTTCAATGTAACATTTATAGCTTTTGCTGAAAGAAACATCAAACCTATTAATTAAGCATCTACCAGCAATCAGCTCCCTCCCTGTGCTTTGCTGGTCTCATCAATCTCACTCACTGTGGAGCAAGCCCCTGGACATGACCAGAAGGAAACCAACTGTCTGATTATTTAACATTTGTTAAGACTGGACACAATGCCTTTGCTAAATATTAAACCCTGGTTAGGCAGAGACTAGAACAGAAACAGACATCCAGCTCACCCCTTGACCCCTGGAATATAAGGCTCTATGGACCACAGAGAAGGAAAAATGTCTGCATTCATGTTTCCCATTTCCTGGAAAGAGTGGACCATTCTACTTAATGGATCACATCATGCTGGTGTCTTCTGAGGGTTGCTAACCTGAGACTGCTTCTTTTTGGAGTAAGGGAAAGCAGTCTCTGCCCTACTTTTGCTCCTACTGCTTCCCCTCCCTGTGGGGTTCTTGATTTTTTCTTTCTTTCTTGTTTTGCTCTACGAAGGAAGTTTCATTTGATAAACTCATTCCTTTGGATGGAAACCCAGGTATTTTAAGTGTTTTGAGTCCCCAAACCACAATTTTCAGTAAGAAGCAGGAAAGGGAAGGTGACAAGTCACATGCTCCCATGGGGGCAAAGATCAGAGAGACCCTTGTTTTGAGGATCTACTGGGTGAACTGCCTCCTAGGTGTCTGATCTGTCTGGGGTGCACATGCAGGATGGTGACATCATATTCTCCCAGAGTCACTGTTCTCACTTCCAGTTTTAGTTGTGACCTCTTCTGCCTTTGAATTCCACCTTCTTGTTATTTAATCACATAAAAGGTCATATTCATACATTTGCTCCACATGCCAACAGAGGAAAAACACAGAAGCCCATGTTTTGTAGGTTGCAGGATTATAGCCCTATTTTGACAAGTTTCCTTGTAGCACACTTTTTATCCCAGGAAGTCCTCTTTGGGCCTGGTGCTGGGTATGCTGGCAGGTGGTTTATCTGGATGGAGACTTTCCTAATGACCTTTTATTGGTGGGATGCCTGTATTTTTAAGTCCTACAACTGATTTTCCTCTGGACCTCATTTCCCTCTGGATCCCAACTCTGGCCCAGGTAGTCCCTATAAGCTGGTGTTAGCAGTGGTCAACATTGCTGAAGTTCTGTCTGAAACGGAGACAGCTGTAAGAAAGCCCAGCAGGAGCTGGCTCTGCAGGCTTTCATCAAACTGAGTCTGCATGGTTCTCAGTTATGAGAGCTGAGGCCAGGAAAGGAAGCAGGATAGTGGAAGAGCAAAGGACTACAGAGCAGGTCTGAAGGTCTCTGCTCCTTCTAGAAACCAGACACATTCTCATGACATTGGCCAGTTCAAATCTAGAAGGAGCTGTAGAGACCATCTGGACCAACTTTTACGTGCACACATGCTACATAAGGGTACCAGGGCCAGCAGAGTTTCTGCACATACCTGAGATAATGGTCGCTTTTCCAGCGTCTGTCCCAGGCCCTTGCTGTGCCCATGTTTAGTCTGTCCCAATTTCAGAGATTTTCTTCCAGAACTATCCAACACTGACTTTCTCCCTCTCCAGGTTCCCAACCCCTATAACTCCACATGGTGGGCTGAAACGAAGCATGTGAGCAATGTACCATCTTTTCTCTGGCTTGGGGTCACTGTAGAGATGGGGGTGGGGGAGAAAAGTGGTGTTCTCAATCCACAGAGAGCTCTCCAGGGGCACTGTGGAACTTTTCCAGTTGGAAGAGCTATCTTGGGAGCACAGAAGGGATTCTTTGCAGCTGGGTGTCTGCAGCAGTGGGAGCAACCCCAGGAAGTCCTAGTTCATAGAGTCGGGGTAAGTCTTACCAACTAAACTGGGAAAGTCAAGCTGGAACCCACAACACAAACTTGAGAAACTTCCCAAAACATGGTGGATAGTGATGTCTACAGGCTGCTGTAAGCCCCAAAGAGCCACCACCTGTCAACACCTTTCTCACCAAGGACTAGGGTGCAGAATTGACCTGGGAACCAACTCTAGATGTTAAGAAAGTTGAGCAAAGACAGACACTGTGTGCCATCCCAAGAGATGCCACAGAGCCTAGCTAAGGTCAGAAGCTCAGTCAACACTTGTTCAGTGAGTAGCATGGCCACTTTTAAGTGCAGAAAGATGGCTGGTCTGTGGACACAAGCCACAGTAGAGCAGGGCAATTTTCCAGCATGAGAAAAAGTCTCCTAAAGATGCTTCATCAGTCAGCCCTGGACCAGCTCTGCCCTTCTGGGTCATACATACATACCTTTCTCAGCTCGTCCTTCTCCCTGCTGTGGGTGTCCTCCAGGACCTTGCGCTCTGAATGAGCCTTCTGCAGCTCAATGCGCAGGCTCTGCACTTCCTCCTGCAGCTGCAGGCTGGTATCAGCCCCCTGGCTCTGCTGGTAATGTGCCAACTCCTTCTTCAGCCTCTCCACCTCCATGGTGTGTGTGGAGGTGACCACAGACAGCTGCTCTGATAGGGTCTTGAACTCTTTGTTCTGTAGAAAACATCAGCAAACCGGGAGAAGGGAGAGAGAGTTACTAGGCCAGGAAAAGGCATGAAGGCTATCAGAAAGACTTCCAGGGCAGAATTAAGCTTCCTGATCATTACATGCCCAAGTGCTCCCCTGCCACTTCCCTAATATTTTAAGCCTCTGTTGCAAATCCAGATGTAGCAGGAGACACAAAACAGCAACACTGACATGGAAACAGTGCAAGCAGAGTATATTAGCATTTGCAGAGTAGAGGCTAGCGGCTGCAGGAATAATACAGGCAGCTCCCTGGATCTGCAGTCTTGGCTTTTTAGGGTTCCCTGCCTTCTCACACTGAGCCCCCTTGCCCTTGGACTCACTGGCACAAAGAGCTGCAACCTAATCCCTGACTCAGAGACAAAGGACCCTTCAGCATCTCCTCTTCCAAGAGGCCCTCTAATGGGCCTGAAGGTCTCTCTTGACACCTGTCTACATGGCTTACACCATGCAACTCCGACTGGAGAGACTGATTCCTGACAAAACCCACCTACAGAATGTGTACCACATCAGCAGCCTACTCATGTATTTACCTTGTGTGCATCAGTCCCTAAGAATCTACTACCAGGGTCCAGTTCATTGTAAATTATGGGTAGAAATTGGGGCTGGGAGAGTTGAGAGTGATGGTAGGCGGAAATGGGGAGGAGGAAGAAGGGCTCTTTGAATAAGCAGGTAAGCAGCAAACAGTCATTGCTTATTCTTCATTGCTGGGCTCTGCAGGAGCTCCAAGTGGAACAGAGCTATTGGCTAAAATGCCAATGAGCCAGGGCATCAGAAACCAATGATTAATTTGCAGCAGAAATTCAACTTCACAGAAAGTAGTGAGGAACACTTAAAGAAAAACTCTTGGAGCCTGTATAGCACCATGGGACTGCAGGACTCTTTTGAGCTTTCAAGCAGTGCATTCCCTGTGTGCAGACAGCTGGGGCAAGATTCCCCCACACTGTGTACAAGCTCCTGGTACAGTCTTCTGCTCCCTACATCTGGCCTTACAGTTAGCCTTACCCAAGAATCAAGACAGAATCCAGTTAAATAGTATCTATAGAAAGACCAACACCTCTGTGACTCGACTGCAGGGTCTGGGTCTATACTGAAGGCAGAGGGTCTCTGCACAGGTAGAAGGCACACTGGACTGGCTACTCACCAACTTCAAATCTACTCTGGAATGTCAGTGAGCTCAGGCCAGCTGTCACCTCCCACTGGCTTGGCTTGGGTTAGATCAGCAAGGGTGGAGAGGAAGACTGACTGAAGTCCCTAAGTGGAACTGGTTGGCATATGCAGAGGCATGGATGGAGGTGGCAGCAGGGGGTGCAGGCTCATCCCATCTTGCTATGGTGAAAGACGACACCTTGAAATGCTGACCAGTGTGTGATGTATCTGGGAGGCCCAGCTTTCCCACTCTTGATGCTTCCTGAGAGCTGACTCCCACGCTGGGGAAGAAGGTATCTGAAGCTGACAGACCTGTGCCTGAGCTCAGCTCTGTCCTTGACCCTTCTGAATATCTGATCCTGTCACTCACTTTCTATGGCTCAGTTTCCTCTTCTTATCTTAGAGACAAGAGGAACTCCCACCTCAGAAGGTCATTACCAAGATGTGGTGGACAAAGTGCTTGTGTGGTACCTGGCACAATCAGTGAGCCTCATTGGCCAGTGCTCTCTATGGAGTCCCAGAAGCCTCTTCTTCTGCCAGTCCCCACCTTCTCATTGACGTTGCTGCCCAAACACACTCATCCCTGGCTTCCTGAGGCTGTACGTTTAATATCCTGGACATATGACTTCAGAACAGAAGTTCCCAGAAGTGTTCTGAGTTTCCTGCTAATCATACCTGTAGGACTCATTGGTATAAAGCTGAGCCTGGCACAGGACATGGTATGAATGGGGGCTCCCTTCCTCACCAACTCCCAGAAACACTCCCTTCAGTGTAAACTGAGCTCACCAGAGCCACCCAGGCCAGGACCACACGTAGACTTGGCCACCCTGTCCTGTGCCAGTGAAGGCTGTTTCCTGGTATGGAGCTGGTTTGTGCTAGGAGGAAGCCTAAGAGATTTCTAGACAAGCCCTTGTTCTCTTTGGATGGGGTCATCACATTTTCATATAACATACTCATTCTGACCCTCCTGCTAAAGTGCACAGACCTGCAGTCCATGGGTAACAAGGTACCTGTCAGGGAAGATAACTTGAGTCTCTGTTGCCTGCTCTGTTGCCTTTTTTCTAAAAAATCTCACCTTTCTTCTGTAAGACTTGGTCAAGCAAGATCATTTCTATATTTTAAATGTGTTTAGAGTAGGAGGGGGAAGACCTCTACCCATTTCTGAAATGAGAAATTCCAGAGCTTCTGTTGGCCTGTGCAGTACCCTTGAATAATCAGAGGAAAGCACTCTCCATAAAGGGGCTGAAGCCCTGAGCTTCCCCTGGGGCTGAACACAGCCCTGGGATACAGAACTTTAAAGGAAGGATGGCCCTTCCTCAGGACAGCACTATGGACCATAGGCAGGTAAGCTGGTAGCAGCTGAATTTTGGCCCCACTGTCCCCAGGCACTCTCATTCAGTGAACAATCTACAGAATAGTATACAGCTTTGTTCCCAGTCAGACGGAGGCTGGCGTGGGAGGTGAACAAATCACTACAAGAATCTGTATGGTAAAATCAACACGTCCTACAACCCACTGTGGATGGGCGCTCATACTGTGTTGGGCATTGCACATCATTTGTGCCTGACAAACATCACACTCATGAACGTGATCAACAGCTCTCACATATTTCATAGATGCGAAAACAAGACACAGAAAGCCCCCAGAGCTGTAACTTATAACAGGCTGTTTCTCAAATGTGTATGGATACTCTGAGCAATGACAAAATATGGACTAATGTAACATTTACTGAATAGCTATTAACTTTAACTATCCTGAATCAAACTGATGTAAAGGTGTGCTGGATAGCTTTAGTGTCAACTTGACACATCTGAGTTGAAGGAGCCTCAACTGGGGAATTGCCTCTATTGAGCTGGCCTATGGCCATGGCTATAGGGCATCTTCTTGATTGTTGAGTGATGTGGGAGGGGAGGGGGGCAACTCACTGTTGGTGGTGCCACCCCTGGGCAGGTGGGCCTGTGTTGCATAAGAAAGCAGGCTGAGCAGGGGCCAGGGGAACAAGCCAGTAAGCAGAATCCAGTTCTCTGCATGGGACTTTGTTTCCTACACCATGCTGCTCTGGCAAGAGACTTGGGACCCTCTACCTCTGGTGTCCCTGGCAATGTACATCTTTTCCTTCTGGCTTAAGGACTCTAGAGAGCAGCTGTCTGGATTATCTCCAGGAATTAGAGGAGAACAAGACATTCACTCACTTCCCAACTAGCCCTGCCTTTCAGGAGACAGTGCTAAATGAGCACCTCTACAGTACAGGAGGTGAAGTGTGCTGAAGATCCGTTCCACCACAGGTGTCACTTGCTACTTGTATGAGCATGACTCCAAGCCAAGGTTGGAATCTCTTTTGGACTGAAGAGCATTCCTTACATGTCCCAAGAAGTCTCCCTATGGGAGAGATCTAACAATCTGGTGAGAGGTGGCAAAACATACGCGAAACCAGTCTACCAAGTTTCAATCCCAGTCAGGCTACTTACTGCTGTGTGATCTCAAGCACGCTACTTGCCCTCACTGTGTCCCCAGTGTACTCATCTTTATAATGAGCAAAATAGTATCATTTATCTCACATGGTGTGGTGGGGAATCAATGAGTTAATAGATGGCAATAGTACATAGTATACAGGCCACATGGTGAATAATGTGAGAAAGGTCTCATGTGTCTCTGATCACCTGCTGTGTGCAGGGCACCTTGCCCAGGGTGGCAACGCCTGCCACTGCTCACAGATGTCAAGCAGGAAGCTTAAGGCAAAAAGCTCTTTTTAAAAATAGGCCTTTCAAATCTGCTTCTCTTTGATGTTCAAGCACGTGGGGTGTGAAATACTAGATTTATTTTTATCCTTTGGAGTCAACGTCAGCCATCAGCGAGGCTGACTCAGAGCCCTGTTTGACTCCAGGGCTGGCGTAGCCTGCAACACACAGGTTCCTAGAAGAGACAGTAGACCCATTTTCCTCGTCCCTCTGACTGCAATATGTGCCTAACTGGCTGTGAGGGTGGTCTCTAGCCAGTCACTGACAGCCCTGATAGGAACAGTGAGCACTGGTGCTCTTCAGTTTGAGTTTTCCAAATGCCCAAGAGCAGACTCTTTCTTAGTCCCTGCCTCCCTCGTTTGCTGTATCACCACAGGCTGAACAGGGCAGGGACTGATTATCCAACACCCACACCTGGGAGGACTATTTTTTCCCACTAAGGAGCCAAGCCAGCACTCCAGAGAGCTCCTCAAACACATATCCAGGGCACCAACAGTTCTCAGAAAGCCTGGTCTTTCCATAGAGAAGGGAGGCAGGGCATTCTACTGTCGCCTGTCTCCACTTTGGAGATCTCGTTTGGGGCCACTGGCTTAGATATAAAGTGGCTCATTTAGCTGAGGATGTAGCTCAGTTGGCAGAGTGCTTGTGTTGCATGCCCCAAGTCCTGGGTTTGGTCCACAGCACTCCATAAAACTGATATGAGCCTGATAGCTCATACCTGTGATTCTCACCCTCCGAAGCTACAGACAAGAAGATCAGAAATTCAAGGTCATCTTTGTTTACACATCAAGTTTCAGGCTAGCCTGGGCTACATGAGAGCTTATCTTAAAAAATTAAAACAAAAATACTTCATTTATTTTCCTGCTCTCTGAGGTCATAAGAAGCTTCACACATTCTCAGCATAAAATAGGTACATTAAGACCAAGTGACCTTCAAGGCCATGACTGATTACCCTACTTCTAAGCTTCTCTTCCTCGTACCCAACACGATACACAGACTGCATCCTTTTTCTCCCTTGCTATTTTGGAACATGGTCCTGTGGACACTTTGACATTGCCCAAGTCCTGTGACAGTGAATCTTTCCTTTTAGTAGGAGCCCAACTTAGTAGCAACAGCACATAGGACAGGACCAGCATGTTAGTAATATTTGGGGGTTAAGAAATCAGAACCTCCCTCATTGTGGCTTGGGGTGAGACCTGGGGTTGGGTCTAGATTTTTTAATTCTGTGGTTTTTCCCAAGATATTTGATGTTCCTGATCTATAATCTCCTCACCTTCCAAAAAAACTCACGAAATCATGTAAAGATCATATGGGAGTGAATACAAAACACCTACCACAGGCTACAAGTACTTAGAAAATCACAAGGAGAAGCCAGGTTGTTGGCTCTGTTCTAAAAAGATTTGTCCCCATAGTACAGCATTCAGCCTTTGCCACAGTCATCCCTGTTTGGAGCCTAACAGAACATCTGACACAGTCAGGGACCAAAGTTCTTCTGAGGGGATGAGGGGGCAGCCACTTGGGTCACCTGAAAGTCACCCGAAGAGTAGGTACTTAGGGTGCATGTGTGAGCCTCATCTTTCCAGCTTGTACACTACCCTGGGTCTGTGTGACCCCAAAGAAGGAGCCAGTGTCCTGTGCTTGTCTTGGAGCTCTTGTATCTTACACAGAATCCTGTCCTCACAGGACTTATCAATAACTTATTAAGTAACTGGCTGATACGGAAAGGTAGTCAGGGCAGTCAGTTAAAAACTGAAACAACACAATAGGAGTGTCAAAGATGTTAGCATGTACCTAACGGGAACTGTCATACATATGGAGAAGTAGGTGTGGGTACACAGGGACCCTCAGTAAACACCAGCATCTTTAGGGCAGAACCACAGGACTCTGGGTCAATGTATAAACAATTACTACATGTTGGGTGGTCCCAAACAGCATAAGCTATTACTTTACAGTTCTGGAGGGCAGAAGTCCAACAGGACTGTGGTGTTTGGAACCCTGGGGGAGAACAGACTTCACTGACTCTCTGGCCTGCATCCTGCTACTTGATCCTGTCTTTAGCTTTCCTCCTCAGACTCTTGCTCTATAAGAGTAAGATTTTATGATCCTTGTGATCCCATGGGGTCTACATGGGCAATCCAGGATCATCTTCCCATCTCAACATCCTTAACTTAAATACCCTTTCAAAGCCCCTTTTGCCATGTGAGGTAACATTCACTGATCCCAGGGATTACGACCTGGCCATCTTTGGGGTAGAAGATGCTGTTCTTCATGCCAAGGTACCTGAGAAATACTCCCTGAAGCCTGTGGTACCCGCAGCTTCCTCTCAAGCATGACCCTGGCATCCTATCAGCCCCAACACCTGGACAGGAAGCTCCTAGTGCTGACCTGGTCATCAATCTTCCGCTGTAGTTGTACCACCTTGTTCTCCATGCCCACGTTGAGGCGTTTCAGATGTTCCGCAGAGCGGGCCTCGATCTTGAGGGCCTTCAGCTCCTGCTTGGCCTTGAGCCTCCGGAAGGCACACTGGATGACAATGGCTGCATCCCGCTGGTGCTGGAATCGTCTGCGTGCCATCCAGCCCCGGGTGTACTTCTGGATAATGGTGGCTTTGTGCTCCATGAGGACCTGGTGAGGATGAGCACACACAGCCTGTAGGTTTGAACAGTAGGGTGGGAACAAGCATAGCTTCTGTAACCACCTGGAGGTGAAAGCCAAGGCTGGCCTTGGGTTTAGGAGGTACACGGCATGTGTCCCCTAACTCCTGAGGTTTGATGGCAAGTTTTAGGTAGGTTCTGAAGCCCATGTGCTCACAGGGAAGCCACTGTTTCTAGCTTTGTTTTACTAATAGGACACTACAGTCTAAAAAGCTATGAGATGCGGGTAACCTGCTGACTATTCTGTTGCTTTCTTTCCATTGGACAGAGGCAATGGTTCTGGTCCTGGTTTAGGGAAGCTGAACGGTGAAGGGGGAATACTCCAGTGAGGGCTTCTGATGGGCGTACACTTCCTGAGTTTTTCTACAAAGGTAAAAAACAATGAGGAAATTAGAGCATCATTGTCCTTGCCTTAAAACTTCCCAAAATAAATGTTTGTATAATGAATAAACAAACATGTTGAGAGATTAGCATGCTCGGTGTCAGGGCTATGAGACAGAGCTGGGAGTCAAACCTAGAGCTGATCTGCACATTGCCCCCTGCTGGTTACCTCCAAAACATCACCTGCTCCTTCCATGGTGTCATGACACAGATTTTATCAATCTCTCCGGAAATTTATTGAACCTACTGGTCTATCCCTCACATATTATATCAAAAGCATCCTGCCCTGATATCTGACTGTGCCTGCTTTTACACCACTATTTTCTTGCTTTATTTTTTGTATCTAGAAAACTGTAAAGTCTTTGATCACAGAAGGGACATGTTCATTTTGTGTATTTCCTTCCTATTCATCTTCAAGTTAACATTGCCCTTTAGTTGCACAGTGCTACTTGGGTGAATGAGTGAGTCCTGATTTAGGGCTACCTAGCCAAGGATTTTAGCTTGACTGGGATAATGCAAGGAACAATGGCCTGTAGGGAGGAGGGCATAGTCTGCCCCTGACCCCCACCCCCAACTCTTGGGCTACAACTTCTTATCTGCTCAGGGAAGGCATGCACTTGCTGATGCCTAGCATACCCTCCTGCTCTTGGGTATGAATGAGCCCATCCCGGTGACCAGGTTCTGCTGCTGGCTGATGTGTACCTTTAGGCAGGATACCCAACTTCTCTGGGAAGTTCAGGTGTCATAGGAGTATGGATGACACACAACTTTCCTTCCTCTTGGGACTTTGGAAAGGATTCAGGGAGGAACTAGTTAAAGGCCCATGACTTGGTCATAGGCATTAGGGATGAACTTATTACTTTTGTTTTGCTAAATGGACATGTTGTCACACTGTCTCCTAAATATTTATGTTTATAACCATAGACTAGTGTTGTCCTAAGCCTTGATCAAAGAAGCCAACTGTGGATAATGTGGAGACTCATGACTGGTTAAGGTGCTGAGAATAAGTGACTGTTGAATGCTCAGCATTAAACAGGACACTCATATTAGCAATGCTCATGGAACCCAGTGGGTCACAAAGCAAAAGGAAAAACAATACAAAAAGACATGAAAGTGGGATGGGGACTTGGTGAGAGGAAGGAGGAGGCTGGTGGGGTAAGAGGAAGGTAAGGGCAGGTAGAATAATGAGTGGATTATATATATACATGGATGAAATTGTCAAGGACAAAGCTGTAGACATACTTAGAAGATGGGAGGACTCAGCAAATGCTCATGCTGGAACAGTTGAATCTATATGATCTGTAAGTCCCATTGTGACTACTCACCTGGCGGTAGTTTCTGCGCACAAACATGGCCCGAGTGAAGGACTGAATGATGATGGCAGCCCTGCAGACCCTCTGGTAGGCCAGGCGAGCTCTCCGCATGCGGAACTGCTTCTGGAACACCATGGCTGCACGTGTCCTCCGCAGGTGCTCAGCCAGCCTGGGGGGTGTAAGAGAGCATGGGTGGCACCAGGGAAAGGGCACTGGACAGCTGAATCAGTCATGAAGACTTCCTTCTGTGGCCCTGGCTGGAAACCCCTCCCAAGGCTGACTCATGCCAACCTTCCTAAATGTAATGATGCCTTAGGCACTTGACATTCAGGCTCTAAACAGCAGAGTCAGCTTTCCCCTTGTGAAAGGTCTTTCCACCAGTGTTAGCCTCAGACTAGATATGAGCCCCCATTACCCTCTCCAGACTGTTCCTGGCACCGGGTACCCTCTGTGAGTGTAGCTTCAGTACCTCTCATTCTTCAAGGGCTCACACTGCTGTTTCCCTCTGTGCCTTTCCAGGCTCAGAGATACCTTGGGTTGCATTTCAATTACCCTGAACTTTTGTATCTAGTTCAGGGCCTGGCAGTGCTGGGGCAGAGCAAATACTTGCTGGATGAAAAAACATCCTTAGGCCCCTATTTTCTCATTTCCCTAGAACTTCCTACCCTCTCTCACTTTCATACACTACCTGTCTCAGTGAGAGAGAGAGAGAGAGAGAGAGAGAGAGAGAGAGAGAGAGAGAGTCAGATGGACACTTCCTACCCTTAAGAGCTTTTCTAGTGAGAGGCTCAAAATGCCAAATGCTGGCATCAGTAATTCCTTAACACAGCCATGGAAGAGGAACTGACCCTCGTAGGTCACCTACTACCAGCTTGCTGGGATGCAAGATTCCCTAGCCTACCTGTCTTTTCTTTGCATGAGGCCTTGCCTATTCCCTGGACCACATGCTTCCTGCACAGAGAATGCAGCCTGCTCCGTTGCATCACCACTGGGGTGGGAGATGGGGCTCAAGCTAGCGCCCCTTGCTTCAGTGGCCATATAAATGTGGGACTAGTGGGCAGGTATCACGTAGGATCATTCAGAGTTAATCCTGCTGTCCTTCCATCTCCACCTTTGGTTCTGGAGCTTGTCTCAACAGTTTAAGAGGTGACATGGTATGAACCATCTCTTGTCATGTGTGAATAAACAGCCTGTGGTAAGCACATGAGCCAGGAGCAGTACCTCCGCCTTTACCATGAAAGACACCTGCTTGGAGCTTAGAGTTGTGGTCTGTGTTTCTTGAGCAGCCACCTGAGAAACTACGAAACACAAGACTTCATGGCAATTTCTGTCACTTCTCTGGGGGAATTCCCATTTGAAGAGACTACTGGCTGTGAGGAGGACTAGGGGCTTAACCTGACAAACTGTGTAGAGGTCTGGGAGAGGCTGGCATCTCATCTCTCACTGGAGACTATGGCTTTCACACTGGCATCACTGGCGATAGCTCTTGCTACTCCCACACTCATCAGCCCAGGGATAGCAGTCAGGAATGGCGACAGTACTTCCCTTTGCATGGGCACTGGGTAGGGAGGTGAGCCTGACTGGTGTCTTGGCTCTGCTGCAAGGTAGCAGGTGGGACACATTCTCTCTATGCTGGCTCAGTGCAGAAGTAATATATAGAAGGGTTTTCCCAGACCTTTCCAGCCCCAGTCACCAGCTTCCAAGGGATCATGAAATTCCTGGTATAAATAATGAGGTTATGTGCAAGTTAACTAGATTTCTCTCTTTTCCTAAAAGAAATCATGTTTACTTTGGGGTTCAGGCAAAGGAAAAATAGTTGATTTGCATTAAAACTAGTTGGTTCTAGGTTAGTGCTGGTGGACTGGAGACAGATGGGGGTACCAGAAGACATGGGAACTGGACATGCTTCCTGAAGCAAGAAAGGAATTAGAGAGCTGTGCGTAGTCACTGGGAGCAAGTCAAGAAGTAGACAGGCCCAAGAGGAGGCACTGGAAGTACAGACAAGAGGCCCTCCCCTTCCCCCTGGCCCTAGCTATCTCTGCATAGCTCACCTGCGTGCCAGGAATCCCCGGCAGAACCTTTGTAGGGTTAAGGTAGCTGCCTTCAGCCTGCGGTACTTCACTTTCTGCAGCCAACCCCTGACGGTCTTCTGGATCATGATGGTGGCTGCCCGGAACTTGTCTGCCCGCAGCTTCTCCAGATAGGCCACCTGGCCTGCCCGGAAGAAGATCTTGGTACGACCAAACTGGAACTTGTCTGGATCCTTTACAAGGTACAAAAGGGAACTGGTTGGTCATCAGTGAGCTGTGAGTAGCACAGCAGTGCTTCCAGGGCAGACATATTTGCCAGATTGCATGTGTACCGTCTGCCCCCCACCCAGTGGGTACACATAGACTCTCAGTACTCATTCAACGACTTGAGTCCTTGTTATGGGCTCAGTATCCAGGACGTGGCCATAAGCAACATACCTGCCCTCAAAGAGCCAAGATCATGAGGAGGACAGATAAATAAGCAAATGAGATATTCTGTTTTCATGGAGTGGTGAGGATTAGCAAGAAAACGAAATGGGCAATGTTCAAAAAGGATGGTCAAAGCAGGTATGTCTGTGGATGAAGTCAAAAGACCTGCATGAACTCAAGGGATAGATGTAGAAGGTAAGTACAGAGATGGGGCATTTCAGAAGAGCAGAGCAGATACCAGCATTCTGTGGTGACAACAGCCAGGTATATTTGAGAAATGGAGAGCCAGGAGGGGGCAAAGTGTGGGGAACCAAAGGAGGGTGATGGAAGGAACCAGCCACCAAAGGCTTTTTGGGCAATGGTACAAAATCAGAATGGGAATATTCTTTTATACCCTTTCCTCTGGACACTCCTGACAGGAGCACAGAAAAGAAGCTCAGGGTATACTTGTGGATTTCAGGACAAGCCAAGTCAGGTTAAGGAAGAGAAGGCATTCCTACAGTCCTGGCAGGGGAGACTCCACCAGAACACACATCTCCTTCATCAAGCCCTCAGAGAAGACTAATACAGCATCCACTGGCAACCATGCCATCCTCACAGAAGGGGGCAGTTGGCCTTGCTGCTTCTACAGCCACTTTTATCCCTGACTTGCTCTTGATCATTCTATTCCTAAATTCAAACAGCACTCACTCTAGTGAGGGGAAGAGCTAGCATGCACTCTTCTAGGCTAACATGTGGCTCAGCTAAACTCCTCGCCACTTACTGGGGGCCTTAGGTCTGGAAGATGTGGCCCAAGGAATGGGGGAAAATAAAGAAGAAATACAAGATCTTCAGGGAAATCTTGTCACAAATTGGTATTCTGTCTCCAAGAAGAGTAATAATCACATTGGATCACCAGGCACTATGGCTTAGTTACCTGTGCAACCCTGGGCATTTTATAGTCACTTCTTGTACCTCAGTTTCCTCATCTGTGGAGGTTCTGTTAATAACCTTGGTGGAATCCAGGTGTGAACTATGGCCCTGGACAAACTGAAAGACAGTCACACAGTCAACAGAACCACTATACACCAGGAAGCCAGGCCTGACACCAAGGAGGAAGACTCCTGATGGTCCATGTTAACTGAATTCGGCGGATTTTGAATACACATTTTTCTAACCCATGAAAAATGAGAGGTTAAAATGCAGACAGTGATGGGTGAACCAGTAAAGTTAACCAGAGTTTCACTAACCAACCCTAACCCTCAATTATCCACACTGTCACCCTCTAAGTTTCATCTTAGCCACTCAGCGTAAATCTTTTTACCACCTACTTAAAGGTGCATTCTATGACTTAGCCCTTTATCGAGACATAGATTATACTCTACCAAAATGCCTGAACTTTCTGGCAACTACTGAAATGTTTAAGGATTTTCCCCTCATGGCCCTGCTTTTTCTCTAGACTCAAATGTGATTTTGGGTTATTTCAATTAAAACACAAAATCTGTTGCTTCATTTAAAACAATTTCTCCAAGGCCTGACAATCTTCTGCTTTATTTATAACAAGTTCCTGGCTTGGCTGAGGCTGGCTATGCAATAGTAAGATGAAAGTAGCAGAGCCCTTGCCTCTGATGACGAGGCTGTGCCTGGTATAGATCAGGCCTCCCTTGAGTCTGCCAGCTCTGAGAAGTCAGTGATGTTGGGACAGCAGCAGCAGTAGCCAGGGGCAGCCTCTACATATACCCTAGTGAGCTGGACAAATATTTTGTGTTCTGTGTGTATGTGTGGTAGGCAGGAGATGGCCTAAGTGGGTGAGGGGTTCTTTTTCCAAGTCACTGACTCAGGAAACGGCTTGTCTCAGTTTTGTAGGGATGAAGATAGAGCTACATACCCCAGCCTCCCACACACACACACACTTCAGTTCACACCCTCACAGGGCTGGGTCACCTTGATGAGGCTCTCCAAGACAGACTTGCAGATGACCTTCTTGTCTGTGTTGGCAAGCTCCTTCTTCTTCACCAGTACCCGATACCGGTTGAAAAAGTCATGATAAGTCCACCTGGAGGAAAAGCAAAGGTGCATCAAGTGACATGCCTGACTCTCTGCCACACTCTGGTCACAGGTAAACTCAGATGGTGTCTCATGGAGTCAATGCTATTGTACAAAGTCATTCTAGGAGCAGCATACTAGTCTCAGGCGAGCTTTGTCCTCTCCACAGCTCACTGGGAACTCCAGTGTATTAGGATTCCTGAAGTTAGGACAGGGAAAATGGGTGTTTGGGAGACAACTCCTAGAGAGTCAGGATCTCCATCCACTCACACCCACTGAGCCCTCTCCTTGGCTTCACTATACTGCTGAAGTATATGGGCACCTTACCTAGACACAACCTTTTCTATAAATGTCTTCTTCTTTGAGGACTCATGCTGCTCTTTGTGAATATATTGTTTAAATGCAGAAAAGTATGCTTGCAAGTAAAAGCAACCCCATCATGATCCCTAGAGGTCACATTACTCATACTTCATTAGAGTCACAAGAGCAGGGATTCTTAAACATTTTCTACTCAAGAGTTCTTTTCATTCAAGAAATTTTTACATGATTCCAGATACATAAGTATATTAAACAGGTATACACATCAAACATTTACTGATAACAAATCAAAGAAATACAACATGTCCATGGGTACAATAGTGGCATGAATGTTATGGGGCAACCAATTGCTTTCTGATTGGATTAAAGGCTGGTGCAACAGGGGGAAACACATGTGTAGTACTGTAAATCTGACCAAGAACCCATGGCTGAGGAGTTCACAGGCTCCAGGGGTGAACTTACTACTATTATTCTGTTAAATGGACAAAGTATCTAATTGCCTTCTAAATTTGTTTCTAAATACCCATAGGTTAGTGCAGTTCTCCGACCTCATCAGAGAAGATTCTTTGTGTAATGGACAGTGGCTAACTCACAACTGTCAAAGTACAGAAAGTGTCAGTGAAGTACTTAGCCACAAATGTGGCATCTATGTCACCCACCCCTCCCCAAGCTCAGGGTTCATCACCAAAGAGGGAGTGGAAAGGCTTTAAGAACAAGAGTTTGGGGAGGCCTGGAGCAATACAGTTTCTTCTGCGCATCACAGGGCTGTTCTACTCATGAACTGACAGTGGCTACGGTTGCCAGCACAAGACCCGAACAAGATCAAGCCAAGTAACATTCTAGAATGGAGCGGGGAGGGGCTCATAAGTCCTTATCCCTAACTGAGGGCCCAAGGACAGCTGATGATTTCTGGGGAGGGAGAGTCCATTTTCTTTAAGGGTTTGGCCACTAGAAGATTGACCACACTCCAGTAGACAGTCCTATATCCATAATTACATAGGCAGCACAAACTGGACTTGATGTATTATTTAAAAAAAGAGGACACAAAGTTGGAGTGGGTAGATTGGGGGGCATATGGAGGTTGAGATAGATCTGTGAAGAGCTAGAGGAAGAATAGGGGTAAATATGATCAAAATACATTGTATGAAATTCTCAAAGAATAAAAAATCTATAAAAAGAAATTTTAACAGCTTTGGTATACATATAATTTCAACATTTGTTGAACAAATTTGCATACTAATGAGATGGATAGGTTTATTTGCAAATAAAGAAATCTTGGCTGTATACTTGATACTGGCAGGATGTAGATCTTCTTTGTTTAGTGTTGATCAATATTTTAATTATGTAGTCATCAATGCTGAGAATACTGCATCACATAAACACATAGTGCAAAACGGCAAACATGTTGAGGGCTATTTCAGAAATTTTTGGAAATTCTGTCCTAACCCCAAGCCAAGATTATTGATTTTTTACACCTTTATACACTGACGTAAGATGTGTGTGTGTGTGTGTGTGTGTGCATGCAGGAGTCAGTTCTCTCTTTCCACCTTTACACAAGCTCAGTGATCAGACGCAGGTAGTCAGGCTTGGCAGTAAGTGCCTTTACCCACTGAGTCATCTTTCCCTCAAATGTGTTTTTTTTAATGTAATTTAAATCAGAAACTCAAACTTCCTAAACACAATATAAAATCAAACATCCTAACACAATATAATCCAAAGATATACTAACTTGACACTTGTAGGCTAAGGAATGACAGAAGGAAACTACTACAAGTCCTTGCTTCTATAATTAAAACATTATGCTTGCATAAGAGCGGAAAACTTTGTATAGTAAAATTACAGCAGTTTAGAACACATGGCAGTCTAGAATAGGAGTTGAGTATTTCAGGCAGAGCTCCTTTGTACTTACTGTACATGTCATCACTACACATTGCCAAGTATTCAGGTCCTGTGTTCAGAATCAAGGGTGCAGGGAAGTTGTGACAGGCACACTGCCAGAAACACCAGATTCAGCATGCATTTTATTTTGTATTAATTTTTGGTAATTTCATTTTCAGAAACCTTTTACTGTTTCCAATGGTTTAAGAAGCTGTGTTGCAGCTTTTTTAAATCATTTTTTTTCTCTTCATTAGGGTAATATAGGCCCCCTGTAAAGATGCCCCCCAGTGTTCCACATAACTGAAGAGACCTATAACCACTGGTCACTGGCCACACAAAACAGAGCTGCTTGAACATGTTTTGGTAGTCTTTGAGAGAGGCTTCACTTTATCCCCTGGTCTCTGAGAAGGTCTGTGTATAAACAAATGCAGGTTTCTACAAAGGGCTACTCTTCCTCGGTAAAGCAGCCTTGGTTCACATCCATCACTACTCCAATTCTCATTCCTGCTTTCAGAGATGCTTGTGACCTCCTCATGCAATGGCAGAGTCAGCACTATCCACAACTCACGGCTGTTTTGTGTTTCAGTCTCAATTGCTCAGAAGGTCAGCACAGCCCATCCCCATCATTCTAAGCCCTTGGCCATTGTACAGTGAGGCTGGCTTGTACCTTTAGAGGCATCGTCTAGAATACTTGTCTCCAGTGTTACACTGTTGGCACTTCGTTCAGAAGTCATTAGATGCACTGAGGTCAAGCACCTGCTAGTTCTGTTACTGGTGGCCTTGCCAGAAGATTGTCCAGCTACTTCATACTTGTTCATGTGTTAGTGCAGAGGGAACAGATTGTCTCCCCTCCTTTTTCCCCTCTTTTTCTTTATTTTTTTCTTCTCTCCTCCCTCCCCCTTCTCTTTGAGACAGAGTCTCACTATGTAGCCCTGGTTGGTCTGGAACTCCCTATGTAGACCAGGCTGGCCTCAAATTAACAGATTCGCCTGCCTCTCCCTCCAGAGTGCTGAGATTAAAGGCATGTGCCACCAAGCCTGGCTTGATTTCCAACATAGTTATAGGTCTCAGGGAAGAGGTAGGCTTTACCATAAATAACAAAAGCACATTTTCCATCTTATCTGTATTTCTCTCTCTGTCTGAAATATAGTTGGTTAAATATTCTTCCTTTTTGTTTTTGAGAAAGGATCGTATAGCCTAGGCTGGCCTGGAACTTAGTATATTAAGGTGAAGATGGCCTTGAGCTCCAAATTCTTTTTGCCTTCACCTCCCAAATGCTGGATTACAGGTGTGCACTACCATACCTAGCTCTAGCCTGTTCTTTTTTATAAGAAAAAGATTTTGAGATATTACATACCATAAAATTTACCCTTTAAAAGTATGCAATTAAAATAGCTTTTAGTGTACTTGCAAAGTTGTGTGACCATTCCCAGTACTGAATTCCAGAACATTTTCACAACCCCAAAAGGAAACCTCATACCCTTGAGCAGTTGTGCCAGACCTTGGCAATCACTGATCTACTTTGTCTTATGCTTTTAGGTTTTTAACTGGCCCTCTCAAAGGTAGTGGCACAGGGAAAGGGGAGCTACTAGATCTTTCCCGGGCCTGCTCATATAGGCATGGACTCTCTTAAGCAGGGAAGGCAGAGAGTAACCAGAGCCCAAGAGGGCTCTGTCTTAGGGTCCTTTGTCCTCCACTCACTGGGAAGAAGCTTTCCTACTTTCTAGTTGTGAAGTAACTGGCCATCTTTAACAGATACCATGTAAGAGTACCAGCTAAATGCAAAGCATTTTGTATTTTTAAACATATGTTAACATTATTGATGTTTTCCTAGGGTCCTTCTGTCCTAGCCCTAATATTTTTGTTTTGCATTTGAGTCAGGGTCTCCTGGCATCTTTAGCTGACCTGAAACTCACTCTGTAGACCATGCTGGGCTTGAACTCATAGACATCTACCTGCCTCTGCCTCCCTAGTGCTAGAATTAAAGGCATGCACCACCACACCTGATCCCCTACTAGATTTGAATACAGATAATTTCCTCTGATACTTCTACATAGAGAAAGATGGACTTAGGTAATCCAGGGAAAAAATGCACGTGACAAGGAGCTTCCTGAATCTCACAATGCAGTTAAACTGGGTGTAGGCTCTCCCCTTAGTCTGCTCAGCATTTCTCCTGACTCACGTTCTGCATGGTGGTTATTTGTGTACTCACTTCTTATTTCTCCCTGGGAGTTTGCAATTTTGCTGGGAAATCATTAAAGCAGCATTTAGCTGGGCTAAAAACCTTAAATGCTTCTAATTTGAAAATCTCTTACTGCTGAAAGATTCACAGCTCAAGGAAATTATGAGTGGGGAGATATGACCGCAAAGATGACAAGGCCAATTTTCAATGAGCTTGGACTGCAGGAGTATAGAAGCCTGGCTCTGACCTTGGCCAGCACTATACTACAGAGAACGTCTAGGCTGGATGGCCCATGTTCTCACCTGCAAAACAGACAGAATGTCACCCATCTCACCAAAGTGCCTCACAGGCTCTTGGAGCCAATGAATCCACCACATGGAGTGTTTGGAAAGCTGGAATTACTTTCCTTTTCTTCCCAATATCCCTGTTCCTTTTGGTAACACATTTTTGAAGCACACCTTTACAAGTAGAGGGGAGCACAGTGAAACTGGGAAGAGGGGTCCTGGGTTTCTATGTAAGGGTAATCATCCACTGAGGAGAGCCCCATGGCCTTGGGAAGGAACTCATTCCCTCAGGAGATACTCCAAGGGACGTGGGTCTGCTAAGGGGTCTTGGCATAGGCTTGTAAAAAC